CATAAGGTAGATCGAGTTGGCTGACACGCCATTTTTTCCAGCGGAACTCAGCGTATAGGGCTTAGCCTAAACAGCTGATCGAAGAGACTTTCAGAGCATTCGCACGAGGCGATTTTACAGGCAACAAAAGTTGAATGAGGAGTTGAAAGTGAAAAAGTTGCCATCCCTATTCAGACGAGGCGATTTCCGATTCAACACGAATTGTTATTTAGATTATTTAAAATGAATTTAAATCGCAAAATTTTATCAATTGGCGTAACTTTGGTAAGCCAAGCGTTGGTAAAAGTGTTTTTTTACCAAGTTTTACCAAGCCTCTCGCCAGAATGCAATTTCAAAATGGTGGTATGTATACAGAATGTAAACAAACGCAGGGTTGCAAGGAAAAAATGTTGAACGAGCGCAAAGTTGGCTGGCGACCAACTTTGTTGGAAGCGATTAGTTGAAAGGCCGTTTGGACGAGGCGATTTTTGCTTTCAACTAAAAGTTGCCTGAAAAATCGCCTCGTGCGAAAGCCCTATTACGCCGCTTCTATTAAATTTAACGCCGCTTTCTTATGTGGCAGTTGCAAACAAATTCTATTTTTTTATTACTGATGTGATAAAGTAACTAAAATATTTTATAATAATACTACGTTTCTAAATATATGTTCTTTAAGATGTTTACTATATAATTATACACTGTTTAATTCACTATAGCATTGAAAGATTTTTTTAATACGGCGGCAGCTCAACATTGAATTCTAAATACTATCGACGCAACTATCTCTATTTATCACCTTCATACGAACATGGTGCACATACGAACGTTGTAATAAATGTATGTACTCAGATATGCGCGATATCGCAGCGCTAACAATAACACACGCATTATTAGAAAATAGACAGTACTGCATAGATGAAGCTATGAATAACGCTTGCCAATAACGTAAACTTATAGCGTTTTCTTTTCTCAATGAAAATGTTGCCTCAATATATGGCACAATTATGTAAATGTTCACCCACACCCTGTAAAAAGGTTGCATTTTGGGTATGAGAAAAGAGCAAAAAAATGCCATTTATTTTATTAGTTTTAATAAAATCATACAATGCACTTTCATTATAACAAGGGTATTCAGATAACATGATAAACTGCCGTTTATGAAATTTATAATTTTATTGCGTTTATGTCCAGTTTTTGAAGAATAATTATTACAAAATAGGAATCCAAATCTGATGGGCAACACTCGCCCTTACGCATTAACAAGGGCAGAAAATGTTGCACTTTTGTCCCGCCAGAGGGCAACATGTTGAGAAAAGTAGA